CAAATACTCAATGACGGCGTTGGATGGACCGTTAGATTCCGACCCATCCACTCAATGGTAATATGCTGACCACGGAACCTGATAGACCCGAGTTAAATCCTTGGCGAGTTTATGGGTGCGCACTCCTGAAGACTCCCATGCTAAGATAAAACAGCTGTCCAGTGCCTCCAAGTTTCCAGTAGTTTTGCAATTGATGTCATTCCATGATGAATACCAACCTGAAATTAATATATAAATCCCCGCAAACCTCCGAATTCAAAAACAGATGCGATAAGCTTCTCTGACCCACACACCAACTGAATACATATGTAGTAAACTAAGATTATGAAGATTTTAGGTTAGGTGGCTGCTCAGATTGTCTCTGATGACAAAGTATCTCCTGATACCATTACTGAGGTTTTACGAGACTACTCAATCACTAAGTGTAACTTAGTTCTGAGCTCAGATAAAATACACTAGTATTAGTTATTTCAACAAAAAAGATACATTTATGTCCGCTAAATAACTACCGTAGTCCAATAAGACTCTGTTAGATATAAAATCAAATTATATTATCGGTGGCATGTCCTGAATCTCACTTTCAGCCACAACCAAGTAAATTACAACATAATCGAATAATCTTATGTACCAGTAGCGTATTTAAAAACGCATTGCAAGAACTAGCTTAAAAAGTGCCATATTCAATAGTAGTGGAAATACAGTCTTCTAATCCATATCTTTTCTTATAAAGTAGACAGCTGTAAAAAGCCTAACCTGTTGTCATAAGCCACTGATCTTTGAAAAGCTTTTACAGTTTACTCCAACTTTAGTTCAAACACTTAACATCGGTCCCATAATCATTAAGTGTTTATTAAACAGTAGGCAACAGATTTCAATTATACTTCTGTGAATTTCAACAGGAATCCCAGCTAAACTAAAAGTCTTATCACCTTGAGGTGAACAACTACGCTAACAGAAGGATAAAAACTGAAGAAGTACTAGAAAAGAAATTTAAGTTTCACTTTACCGATCTCATTTATACACGGCTAACAGTTTTATTGCTATCCGTCTTTTGAAAAAGTTAAAATAACGCCACCGCGTGTAAGTTTTGAATTAATTGATGTAAAGCAAACCGAAATTTTCACACTTTTTAGAAAGAAAATCTCCTCATATGCTTTCCTGAAGTTATAAGCTGCGATGAATCACCATAACTGGGTGTAAAAACAGAGATATTTAGAAGACACATATGATAGTCAGAGTTACATCACACCAAAACCCCGTATAAGGTAATCTTACGCTAAGAACAGACACACACAAAGTAGTTACATAAATTTGATGTGACAGTTATGCATACAAGTGACTAATTCGAAAACTACTGTCATGTAGTGCAACAGTCTATATTTTGCACCAATTTCGATAATCGAGTTATTAGTAGATGTGAAAAATTATCGATTAGAGTTTGTTAAAATGAAGTTAATCGGCAAAGGTTTTGGAGTAAGAAGCGTTTATTAATAAATAGTAAGTAAAACCGAAGGTTTGATCTAAATACAAACCCAAATTAGGCAGAAGCAAACGCTTTTTGATGCAGCCAGAAAAATAAACACCTGAGTAACTATTAAACTATGAGGACACGGACTAGGTCTTCATATTCAACATTTTGATTTTTATTGTCTAATTATGATAGTTACACGAATTCCTATCAGCTGCATAAAGTTATTGGTTATCTCGTGGACCACTGAAAGCTAGTTTTCATTTCATGGCAAGGATACACTAAATATTGTTGAACGAAGCCAGTGTTGGTGCTTACGATTTTGCTAGCCATGACACAGAACACTCCATTGATTAATACACATAACTGCTTTAAAAACAATAGTTTTATGTGAATGAATGAATACATAAATAAACTCACAGCAGACGCTTTGTGTGTTTTCTTCCACCGCGTTACAGAAAAAAGCTTTGTGAAAATTACTGCAATTTGTTTTAGATATCCCTGCTAAACAACAGATTAATGAATACCTCCATTATTTCACAGGTAAAATAGTGTGATAAACAACTAATCTGATTTACTTTTCTTTAATGATGAGTGAAAGTGTAAATGTTAACTTTCATCTTCTTTGTACTTTACGGTAAACGTTCTTCAAGGAATGTGTTTAGCAGGAAACAGCTCTGTTTTATCCACCAAAGTCATTGATTGGTCACTGGAGAGTTACTAGTTTTATATTACTTAATCCCAAAAACCAGTAGAATTATGTCAATCGTTTTGTAATGTGGTCACCAATCTGGAAGATTCACAATTACGAAAGAGACTGACTGAAAGTGTTCGCTCAGCATTTCGGAGCAGATGAGATTACATTGTCTAGTTTTTAGTGACTAGTCAATGCATGTAATTTAGTCCTACAGCAGGTCAATCGTGGCCCGAATAGCTCAATGGTAACATCGCTGACTGCAACATTGAGTGACGCGAGCTTGGTTCTCAGGTGGGACACCATTCCCTTCAGGCGTGCAGATACTTCCTGCTGACGAGTGCCAACAAGTAAAAACATGGGTCCTGGGCGTCTTGTTGATTGCCACTAATCACCCAAAATCCATCAAAGCTCACCATGATTGTGAGCCATCTAGCTTGATGGCCACATAGCAAAATGATCGATAGAATTTAGTCAGCACTCAGGACTAGAAAATGTGAGACTGGTTGCTCTCTAGTGACCAATCAGTATATGTAGATCAGTTACTGGCGGAGTAGTTCAGTGACGAAATCTATGACTTCAGCACTAGACGTGGATTTGGTTCCATGTAGGGATATTAATCTTCTAATAATTACAAATGCACCTTTCTGATGACAGATAAAAAGTATCAAACCTAAGTTAAGGGATTCCTATCGATTATATCGAACCACCTTACTTTAGTTATCAATACCTGCCCACTATCCGACTCAGCTTAACTTCACTTTTTGGTTCTAATCGATAATTTTCGATATTTGATAATAACTGAATATCTAAATCGTTCCAAGGTATATTTTTTAACTACACAGCGGTAATTTTCATATGTTAAATAAATTTATGTAATTATTTGATGTATGTACCCTTTCTAAGTTTAAAATTTTTGTATGTAATGTTTCCGCGTGATGTGACTCCAACCACCAGACGTATGTATGCTTTTCGCATCTTTTCAACTAAAAATTTTGAATTCGCATGATCCTACATTTATGAAAGTTTTTTATTTCTTATATCCCACTGTGCTTAGCTTTTGTAAATCTAAATTATCACTGTATTTCGAACAGGCTTGTAAAACTTGACAGTTATAATGGAAAGAGACTTCCAGTAGAATACAGGAAGCGTCTTCCTTCTCATTTGGAACCCGCCAGCTGAATACACCTGCCTCCCAATGGTTGATGTTATTCCCAAAAATGCTGAAACCCAGCACCGACTGCTTTAAAACGCTGGAGCATTATCCATTAAGCAGCAGTCATGATAAGGCTCGTTGCGCGACGGACATACTTTTAATGCTATTGCTTGTAATTTTCCACCACTCACCGGAACAAATCGATCGACAACTATTAGCATATATGCTCCCACACGGACGCCTCAATATGGCCGTTAATTTCAGTTTGATGTTTGAAGCAACCGGTTCTGGGTTTGAGTATTACTGGGGAGAACATCATCCTCAAGGAGTCAGGTGTATTCAACTGACTAGTCTTAGTAGGGCAAAACGCGCGTTTTGAATTTCCCCATCAGTCATCATCAATCATTAATATAAAACTGAAATTAACAGCCATATGCAGGCATCCACGTAGAAGCTCTTGCGTCGATAATCATCTATCAACTCGGTTCAGTCAACACCAGGAACTTACAGGCAATAACATAAGCAAAACTTACTTTCGAAAGTGATTTTATGGCTTTCTATCAAGTGCATGCAAATGGTACTATCTTCAGTGAACAGAAAATCACCCAGTATTGGGTCATAGAGCAAAAGAGATAACCGCGGAGACAAGTTTTCTTTGGAAGACAATTTTCATCGCTCGTTCTAAGTTTAACAGTAGTTCTTGTTCATGAATAAACTTAGTGTTGTTAAGGACTTGAGAGGCTAAGCAACTCCATTACTTTACACTCCAATACGTGGATAAGCTTAGTGTTGCTGACAGTCATTGGTTCATAGGCTTCCCAACAGTTACCCTAAGTCGTGACCTTTCTACTTCCTGCAGACTGTATTCAGTGACTAAATAGTTGACTAGTGAGACGTTTTTTAGTCTTGCGTACAGTAAGTAATTCTGCTCACGTCAGCAGGCGCCTTAAAACCATCACACGCATTACAGGCTAACATGTATTTATCAACTCTGAGGTTTACTTTGGCTTATTCAATCAAATTTTAGGTCTAAAATTATTTTATGAAATTTCCCAAAGTACCAGTGAATTTTTGAAATCTCAGAATGAAAATGTCAAAGACAAAGCAACTGCGTCACATCTCTTCAAATTTACTAAGTTTGACACTCAACACCCAATACAAAAAGTGTTTAATTTAGTACTGTAGATTTATTACTTACTGGAAAGCTTTTCGATTTCAAAGCCATGAGTGGTATTGTTCAAACACTGAAAGCATACTAACCACCTAAATGTCACTTGAAAACAAGATAACCGGTGCACGTAGGCTATGTAGCAATTACCTGTCACAATTTAGAATAATTGCACAAGTTTTATGGTTCCCATATTCAAAATTAGCCTGAAAGTTTAGAAACTGTTATGAATCTGCGATCTCATGTCCCTAGTTAGTATCACGAATTCCAACAGGGTGTTTTCGTAGCAATCACTGTTGGGGTAGCCAGAAACATGAAGCTATATGTCTACTTATTCAAGACCTACTCCGCGGGTTCGAAAAGAAGTTAAAAATCCTTGAATGCATTCAAAATCATTCAGCATAATCTAAATATTTCACAGAAATCTATTGTCTACATTTGTAAACAGCCGACTGCAAAATATTGCACTATCATTGGTTGACGTCTTATAGAAAAACACATTTCAAAGGCATGCATGAACATAAATGCAACAATCAGTGATGACATCAACAGACCTTCTAATGATTTGTCGTGTTTTCTGTCCTCGAAGAATGGAGTAGTGAGTGAAGTGACGATAAGTATTTATGCTCGTAAGTTAGCAATCATGGATATTTCAAAGACACAGTGGATCAAATTAGACAAGTATCATTACCGAAGTCAGCTAAAATGTTTTGTCGTTATAAATTTGCCTAGTTCATATAACAGAAACTCTTTACAAGCTGTGAGAACCTACAAGTATGAAAATATGGAATCAATAAGGAATAATAAGAAGCTTATGAAAACAAAATTAAATTCAGTACCACTTGCATCTCACTATTCAATAGAATATTCATATTCTTTACATTTACACAAAGAAGTTATCAGCAACTATATAGACAATGATCCAATACACACATTAATTTAAAAATATTAGTTAAAAATAGTCTGTCTGAACTATAATTATTTTCCAAATTATTAGAAGAGACCCTAAGTCTAGAAAAGTCTTACTCTATTGTAACTCATGAAATATAAAGATTATGAAGGTCACCATGTGATTTCTAGGGCCGACTGACTAGAAAGATTCATTTGACACTAGACACTAGTTGAGAATTACCTAACACCCAGATAAATTGTTGATGAAGGAAGACAGATAAAGCTTGAGGTATACGTGATCGCTTTTCTTACTTCCATTTACAGCCTCAGTACTAGGTCGCATTCACTGACGTCAAAACAACCATAAGCTTTTTCTTCAAACATTTTTCAGTCAATAAAAGCCATCTCAGACTGCAAATCGAACTCCCACTTGGCATATTTTCGCAATAAGTATTCTTAATCCCCTCGAATTATCGATGCCGAACCTTATACAATATTACAACATTTTTTATCGGTAAAGTTCACTGTAATAAAATTGTCTCAACTACCGGATATTCACAAGTGAACAGCAAAGACTGAATACAGATAATGAAAAGCAGGGCATTCATTTAACTCTGCAATGCATAACTTTAATCCGTTTCCAGATCTCACTCGGATACTGAGTTTCAAGAGGCACTTGAATTGGTTGACATCTGCAGCATAGACAGTGTATGATTAATAACTACTTGTCCTTCAGTTCCGAATAACGTCACCACTTCTGTATACCACACCGTTACTCACATTCTTAAGGGATTCTTATCACAAACAGCGTAGGAGATTTTTTTTTGATGAGTCGAAAACAGCATGCATACGAATATATCCCAATGATTCGAACTGCTGATATTTGCTAAAATGTTATGAATTTCTACATAAAAATCAGTATTTCGCAAGAGAATATCATTCGATTAGAAAACATCGAAAATTCGTATGAAATACGCTGTAATCATAATAGTTATGAACATTCCATTTTACTGAGCTAACTCAATACAATGTAAATAATCGTTAAATTTTCACTAAATTTCTACTCCGTAAACACTACGAACCTGTCAGTTATTTAGTCTGCTGGTACGTTTGCATTGAAGCATGAATTTCCAGCTTCTTTTCTTGAACACGGTCACCACCACTCAAATATCATTTAGAAGGCAATGTAAACTGACACAGAAACTGTTTTCAACAGTAAAATCTTTGAAGTTACCAACTTTAAGGGAAATATGGAAACTGAATAGCTTGATACAAATGCATGTAATTATGGCGAATTCATCAAGTAACTTTGAGTCATTGAAAAGTCATCATCATATTCAGTCTTGTTCAGCGCATTTTCTCAACCTTCATAGTTTGTGTCAAACAAATCTTCACTTTTTATCAAGGTATTTGATTGCCATCAAAAGATAAGTTATGAAGTCAACTTCACCAAAAATGTCAATACACCCACGTATTTTTTTTGACAAATACGCCAGTTAGAAAATATAACTTGCTGTAACATCTTATTTCCATTACATGAATTTGGCATAGTCTAGTCTTTTAGAGAGTCTGACGTTACCATATCGCATGTTTTTTGTACGACCTATAGTTTGCTGAGAGCACCCTAAGCATTGTTTTTCACAAAAACGTCAGCTCTAAAATATAACTTGTTCTAACATCCTGTTTCCAACACATAAATTTGGCACAGTCTAGTCTTATAAAAAGTCTGACGTTATCACATCGCTCATTTTTATGAATGACTTAAAGTTTACTACGAACACGTGGTGTTTCTTTCCAAATTTTCATTAGTAGCCATTGTTAAATACGAACTGGAAATTGCACCACTTCAAGGTTAGAGAACAACAAGTTCTTGTCACATATGTGATTGATATTTAACATAAAGGCATCCGTTTGCATAATTATCCTTGTTTCAATGTGCTTTCATAACGGCATACATATTTTTAGCAAAATAATTCACTTTCCGCTAACTACTGTGGACGTAAATTTAGTGAAATAAAAAACACTGGTATTTGTCAATGTGCACTCAGCCTCCAAGTATACAGATATCCTTTCACATCCAGTATCGCTTATTACTGCATTTACACCGTAAGTTAAAATAAAACACAATAAGAAAACATATCATCATCAAAAAGCTTTTAACACGAAACAACCAATGGCGTAATCTGTTTTCTGCCTACAGTTTACTCCTGTTTTAACAGACATAACAATTGCAAACGTTTATTATATGTTCTTGAATAAACATGAGATCAACCAGACTTGCTTACCCACTTTTATTTATTTCAGTTGAAAGAAACATACGGGTTGACCCAATAGTTTCCAGATTACTTGCATGAATGCGATGCAAAACCGAGTACATATCTGTTACCTTAAGGAAGTAACCGATACTCCTTTTTATCCTCAGGTAAGTTAATGTCAGCTAGTTAGCTATATATGCATCTCATGGTCAAATTTTCTAATTTTATCTTACATAGCTCAAGGTAAAACTAATCTTTAGGTTGGCAATTTCCTATTCAGTCAGAAAATAAAGTAACCGTAATTATACCATCTTATGAAAATCATTGTTGTCAGTAATTAAAGTTGAGAAACTGCTCAAAACATTCATTTTCTGACTACAAGTTGCATACAATCTGTAGCCTGAAAATTCTGCAGTGAACTGCTAACATTACTCAAGTTCAGTAAAATCTGTTAACATACCCAGTAAATTGTGTTTGGATGAATCATTCATATAATCGTTTAACCGACCCACAAAGATAAACACAAAATTTTTGTGAAATTATAAGTGCATTGCACAGCATCTCGATTAAATACCGTTAACGACAAGCTTAAGTACATTCGATGCTATCAACCAATCCCCCTATCCTGATCACGTTCATGAATATAAAAATATAAAGATTCCAATTTTTTGACCTATTGACTTCATGATTCTTAGGATGCTCTATTGATCTGGCTTCCGGCATGTAAAACGTTACATTTGTTCACCAGTGAGCAGTTCAAAACAGCAGTGAAACAGAATCGAATTTGCTCTTGTAGTTTTAATATTTTCCTAGTGAATTCGAAACATCAGTAGAAAATTTCCATACCTGGAAATAAGGTAATTTTCCTGTCAGTTATCAGTCAGTTGACAATTTTGATTGCTATACGTGTAGATCTGACACTCTACAGAAGTGCTATGTGAAGTATTCAGTTGCTTAATAAAGAGTATAGTCAGGAGATCAAAATAATAATTTATGTAGGTAAGAGCTGAATCTCCTCTTTCATCTTTTTCAGTAATTTTGGGAAGTCAACTTTGTTTGGTGTAATCCCAAGTCCACAACATCCTCTGAATACGCAAATATAGCAAAGAGGTCACTTGTGGAATGAAATAAGGGTGATCGAAGTTCTCCTCAGTAATCATCCACATTGAATTGACTCCAGTTTCTCTTACCATCTAGAACGAAATACATGTGATCCACAACATCATTGGCGAAGTGGAACGCGAAATTATTGTTTACAGCTCTGCACTGAAATGAGAGATCATATTTTAAAAATATGCTTATTTTGCTTTCTCGGTATATTAAAGTTAAAACGTTTTCTAGTATAAATCTCACTTTGACTGACCTTATGTTTATTTTAATTATTAAGAATACAAACCTAACACATAGCATAGACAGCAGGAACTGTGTCATGCAAAATAACAAAACCAACACTAAGAAGGAGTGGAAATAGAAATTGGTCAAGAGAGAAGTAAATGTTGGTGGTGTCAACAAGCCTGGTAAGAAAACGTTCAAGAAAAAACCTCAGGGATCGCGGAAAGCGCTAAGCAATTGACAAATAAGTTTCGAAGTTACTTCCAGAGAAGCATTCATTTCTTCTGTCTCACTTCTCAGTAATAAAATGTGTAGGAAGACTACTGCGTGGTTGTCACTCACTTTGGCTCTTAGTCATTTCTTCTTTTGCCTCACGTCACTGAGTTTCACGATCTCTCAAACCCCATCCAGGGAGTCTTGACGTACTAACAGTGCAACAGTATCACAGATGACTCAGATAGGAGTAAGCTGGGCTGGCTTTCGAAATCTCATAAGTCAAACCTTCACTTCCGCCCATACAGTATTAAGTCGCCTTGTTGCCAATTCAAAATCACTGGGGCTTATTACGTGGATTTTTTAAAGGAGAAGGCTAGCTACTGTTACAAAAGCAGTTCAGGCGTGCATTGCATATCCTACTGAAAATAATTGCATGGGGATTTAATACAACATTTTTACTTAAATGCAAAGCATAAATTAAAAAGTCAATGATATGAGAGATAGAGGTTAGCACATGTTACACTAATTAGTCCGGGCTGGATGTAACTTACCTATATCATTTTTCGAAGATCAAAAATCTTCTGAATAGCCATACTTTCCTAGGCATGATTCGTGCACCATCTGGTGCTCTGTCGTCTCGCCTTTTATTCCTCTATCTACGACCTTCACCATGTGAGCTAACATTATGGTTGCTCTCAGAATGCTTGAGACTACGGTTACTTATGAATACAGGAACAACGGCTTCACATTTTGTCATGCATAAGTTTAACTAATGTTTATTCGATGGGAATTGATTTTGAAGGAAAACTTGTGTTTCTACGAAAAAAAGTAAGAAATTACAGGCTTCTCTGGTTCTAATACGTGACTTCTCTGCACCACTTATGTCAAGTAAAATATTCTTCTGCACTTTTCTGTGATTTCACTATATCTATCTACATATGAAAGTATCTAGATGAATACTTTTAGAACTCCACTGCAAAACGATAGTTCATTGCTATAATGTGAAATGTTTTATGATTAAAGTTTGTATAGATTAAATTGTATCACCATTTTCGAATAAGTTATTATTTTGCACCAGCCTTGTATTACTTTGAACTGAGACTATAGAATAAGTTTATTTGTATAACTTATTTATTCATATGAAAAGATTAAGACGTTTGTACATTCATTACAGTAACAAGTTTATGCAGAAAGTAATACGATATATAGGTCGTCAATGTACAATACACGCGTTACAATATTCCTGCGT